CCCGCGACGGCTTCCCCGCTTCGCCCACACCGGAGCGACTTTGAGCCCCCCTCCCGCTAGTTACTCACAGAGCAGAAATAAAATCTAACCGGGTGAAACCCTCCTTAAAAGAAGGGGGGGAAAGGATGGAGGACGTACATGGTCATACGAACAACTGCCGAAAACAGCCGACTCCCAGGGAGAGCACGAAGCGGCTGAGTCGCTGCCCGCTCTCGCCCCGCTCCCCTCAGTTACGCACAGGCCAGAGAGGTGAAAGCGCATTCTGTGTGTTCACTTTAATATAAACCATGTAAGATTGCTGCTGTCTTCAGTATGTACAAAATTAAATTACCCAGACTTTAAAAGAGGCATGGTCATCGCACAGCCCTCAGAAAGGGCCTTGTTTATCCAGGCGCTGCCCCCAGAAGCGATACGCTAGAAGCCGCGTCCCCCCCCTCCCGAGACAGCGTAACAAACTGTCTCACAAAAAAAGGGGAGGGGGTGACATTCAGTGAGTACACCAGCATTTAAATTAAGGCAGAATAAATAGCTTTTCTACAACAGTGACAGGTGTTTTCAGACCAGCACTGGCACCCGGGTGATTTTCTTGCTGTTCTGCAGGGGAAGAGCAGCTCTTCCTCCCCGCGGGCGGTCCGAGCCTTGTGGTGCTCGTGTTCCTCGGAGGCGACTCAAGAGACGCAGTCCACGCTGTGCAAGGATCCCTTTCCCTCCAGGCAGGGCTTGGCCAAGCTGCCTGGCCCCCTCCCCGCAGCCCTTTTACCTGGAGTTTTTGCAGACATTGGCCCCCTCCATAGCAGCCTCCTCGCTGCTTCTGCAGCGTCCCAACCCTGGGTGGGAGAGGAGAAGATCCGTTCACCGTGGCGAGCGGCCGGCTCGAAAAAACCACAGCACAGTTCAGGACTTACAGACCGCTGGCTGCCTTTGGGGTAATACCCCATCGACAGCTTCTCAGCCCAGCTACGGCACCCACAAGCTCTGTCCTGGATGCAGCGGTGGCTTCCTTCAGAGAGCAGCAACGCTCAGCTGTACTGCCCACACAGCACTGCTGCTTGGGAGGTCCCACCGGACGCTTGCAGCCCTGGCCTGAAGTATTAAAGCTGACCAGTGCCTGCAGGCAGCAGCACCTCTGCAGCTACCAGATTTTTGCTGGCCTTAGAGAAAGGACTTGCTAAGCTAACCCCGTTCAGTTTGTCTGGACCCTGGTGAACAGACCCTCCCTTTCCCCAACCACTTTAAGTGGACTCGTGCTTATTTAAGGAAGGAAGCCGCTGCTTCTCCCAGCGCTGTAGGTAGCGTGATCAGTCTCCCTCTGTTAAGGGGGTGCATGTGTGGGAAGGAAAAAATAAAGAGACATAGCTGGGCTGAGTTAGCTCCACACAAAAGAAGTGGCCAATTACAGCGATGTGGCTGATGTGAGTGAGGGTACATACCTCAACCATAAATACAGAGTGGTTACAATTCTGCCAGGGTTGTACAAAACACCCAGGGAGGAAAAAAAAAAAAAAAAGTGTCCCACCTCCCCTACCAAAGAAACAGTCATTTAGAGGAAAATCCATCAAACAGCAACAATTAAGAATTCCATTCTGTCCTAGCCAGTTAGTGTATTAGTCCCAGGTTCCTTAAACCACGAGCAAAGGACAGTACCATTCCTTTCAAAAAGGATAAAACCCATTCAGTTAAAATCTGGCTTCTCAAAGCCTTTATAAAACCTAGATGTCCTCTTCTGTTGGTGCATAAGAAAATCCTAAAAACGCATCTGAGGCACTGGAGCTGCTGGCTGCTAAATCAGGTGTGTGGGTGATGGAGTTTGAGACCGCTTCTTGGGTGAACTCCGGATCAAAGTGCCGCAGATCAGCTGGGCCAGCCTAAACCAAGGAGCAGAGAGGCACAGCATCATTTCACATGAGCAGACCTCAACCGCTTGTTTGCTTTGGACTAACACAGCAGCCCTCCCAAAGCAGTCGTTACCTCTGCGTTTGTGGTTCTGAACCTGCATTCCAGCATCCCACAGGGTCAACATAAGGCATCTGGAGAGGAACCTTTGACCTCGCAGGCCCAATTCCTTTCGTGCCACTACATGACAGATATTAACAGAAATATCCACTTACCACATTAGGGTTGAATGGAGGGGTAATCCTCTTGTGATACAGATCATCCCAGTTTATTGGGCTGAAGAACACATGGTTCTTGATCTCGAGCTGCAGAGAAATGGGGGTAGAGAGGGGGGAGATGAAAAAAAAAGTCAGTCTTCTGCCAACTTTCCTTTTCCAGCAGCTGATTAGCTGGTTTCACATCAACAGTCAACTTGCTGAAGCATGACTTGGAGCTACCACACGTGCATGTAGAACCCACTTAGAAAGTCCTCCTTACATAAGCATCATGGTTTGGTAATCCCCTAAAGAGAGGCATCATACACTCACATCTCAGCTTGCCACCACACCTTGACCCATAGCATTTCCCTTTGGTTCTGAACCAGGGCTCCATAGTATATTCCTGGCATTAAGTCACCCCGGAGCAAAACTGAGAGAGGCTTCAGTTCAGAAGAGTTGTACAAGCTAGGTGTGCTAGATCAGAATTTAATCAAATGAAGCCCTGAAGGAGTCTACAAAGTAACCCTGTCTGGACACTAGAAGGCCTTTACCCAAGCCTACCCTATCTCCCCAATTAATCCCTTTTAGAGCTATGGAGAAAGAGAGCAACCTGCTTGGAAAGGTTTTTCCAAGACAGTGTTGTTATCACAAAAGAAAGGCTCAGAAGAGGAAAGGGTTTTATCTGTCCTTCCTCCTGACCATAAGGGAAGCCACCTACAAAGTCTGTCTTGGCACCCAGCCTCCTCTTCTGGTCCTTGTGGAGAAGTCCCTGGAGGATGTCACAAGCTGCTATGGTCTTGCTTCCTTGGACCTGGAGTGGCTTGTGCAAAATGTTGTCATACATCTGAGACACGTCCCGGCTATAAAAAGGAGGCTAATTTGGAAGAGAGGAGAAGCAGCTAGGTAGAACATGAGCTACTGAAAGAGACCATGCATCTCAGGTTTAAACGAGTTCTGCAGTAAGCAGATGAGGCAGTCCTGCCAGATCTCTCTGTTAAAAGGTCAATGACATGACTGAACCAAGTCCTTTAACACAGGATTCAGACATCCATGTCACGTACCATATGAACACCAGGCCAACCTCACATCACAGCTTTTGAAGATAAGTTCTCTACCACATAGAGTAAAACAGACAGCTTTGAAACTCACCAGTCCAAACAGCATCTCATAGAGGACAGCCCCAAGGCACCACCAGTCTACTGTCCTGTCATATGGTTGCTTCTTTAGCACCTCAGGAGCCAAGTACTGAGAAGAATCGGAAAGAAAATATTTAAATCAAATTATACAGGAAGGGCTTTGCATCTGTATATACGTGAACTTGGTTGCAGTTCAAGCTAAGCAAACGCACTAAGAAGCGCACAGATGCAATTCCTACTATTTTTTAGTTAACTCTCCACTTGCTTCAGAGCAGTGGGTTTGAAAGACACCTGCAGACACCCTTCAAGTGGTTTTCGGGGGCAGGGGAGGAAGAGAGCTGCAGAATATTCTCTTTATTGAGGCGATTTGCCACCACAACTCAACCAGCAAACCTGTCCTGCAGTGACACATTACACCGAGTAGCTTGTGTAGTTCCAAAAAAGCAGCAGCTTTCAAGCCTAGCAAGTCTGCCCAAGTCAGAGGAACCATCAATAAGCACAGGTCTGTGGCCACAGCCAGGGAGCAACATCCAAGAATGCAAGAATTTTGCTGGACAAAAAGCAGCACGCAGAGCCTGGTCTCATACATGATAGCACACTTCCATGTGCTGTCAACCCGCCAATCCAGCGCGGGAAAAACACAACTAAGCTCAACCATTCCCCACTTAGTTCACGTAGCACTCCTGAGTAAATGGGTCTCTATGGTAAACTAAAAGTTACTCTTGGGAAATTCCTGCCTGCCTCTGTTGAGTACAAAATACTCAAAGGTATCTTTGTTACAGACCCTTCTTCCAGGTGAAAAGGGCAGCAGGACAGGAGCATTACCTAGATTGAAGTGCTACTGAAATCCCCAGCTCAGTAAAGAGCAGGAAAACAAGCCTCAAGAGAGCCTAAATAGAAGGCTGGTTCTAGCCAAGTCTAGTTGAGCTGCATTAAGGAAAAGGCATTCTTGCCCCTCTGCACAGTATTCGCCCCAACTGGGGGACGTTATTCTCCACAGCCTGGTCCTCCTCTGAACAAGGCATTCTGCCGCCCCTACATAACAAGGGCATCTTGAAGGGTACAACCAGGCCCTGGCCCTGCAAACCCTTCATGTTCTGCAACCAGAGGGTATCAGAGCAGGTAAACAGCCTGCTCACAGCTGCCAGCATCCAGGCTTGGAGGGTCAAGGTTGTCTCCACAGCCACGTGGAATGGCCCCAGTTTCCCAAGAACAGCCATTTCCAAGACAGCAGGACCCCCTGTCCTTGACGGCACAGCAAATTTAAAGTATAGTCAGCTGTTGCAGGTAAACCCGTCTCCCTTGTGCAGGGAAGGCCTTATTTTAACTCCAGTTTCAGGCTGACAACCTCGTAAAGAGCCCCTAGATGGTGTCTAGCTCCCACAGTCCATATTTTCAGAGATGCTGAGCACCCACTCAAGTCTTGATGAGACCCAGGGCAAACGGATCTCGGCAGGTCTTTTGGCTCCCAGCTCACAGTGGAACTCTCCAGTATATGCTGTACCTCAGGGGTGCCACAAAAAGTAGAAGTAGTCTCTTCTTGCTCCATTCCTTCTTTGCAGAGTCCAAAGTCCGTCAATACTACATGTCCCTAAACAAAAGGAAGGTATTTCAGCCTGGCCCACTCTCTGTAGCAGGAGGGAGACAGGATTTCCAAGTGTTGGCCATCACATTGCATCTGGTACACATTATAGTGCCCCATTATCTGTTTTCCCCTCCCTTACTTTCTGGGCACCCTATAACGTTAGTACAGAAGCCTACAGAGAGAGAGTGCTAGATTTTTAAAAAGTGCATCTGCAGCTATGAAGACATCTAGAGCGCTCTACTGTGCTTTGCCACTCCTTTATCCCAGAGGCAGTTCACACAGTGGCCACTTCTAGAGCAGCAGGAGAGACTTGCTTTTAACGCTGCAGATTCCTGTCCTCAGGCCAGGTCCCAGCTCTGGGCGGGAGGACGAACAAGGACCACGTATGCAGTTCTGCAGAGGGTATGCTCCCTTCCTCTCAGAGGATCTGTGCAGAAGCGTAGTGGCACATGCAAAATGCATGCAATGATATGAGCCAGAGTTTGGTTTGCAGCACTTTAGCCTTCTATTTGTGATCCCAATGCTTTTAAAACCAGAAGGAAGGCGGTATGATAGGTGAATATACCTGGCAATCCAAGAGGATGTTCTCAGGTTTTAAGTCCCTGCAAGACAAAAATTACTATTTGAGCAGATTTGACTAGATGTTTAAAAAAAGCCTGATCTGGAACAGCATCAGCTTTTTTAAAAAAATAAATAAGTAAATAAACCCACACCCACCCACCCAGGAGCTGACTGGACTTGACAATCCAACTCGCTAAGACCTTCCCAAAGTACAGATTTCCATCTCTGCTAGAAATCACCATATAAAATGAAAGGATAAAATAAGAGAGATCGCTGCCTCACACAGTCAGATGTTAGCCTGCATCTCCATGTATTAGTTGTCATTAGGAGACAGAATGTCTTATTTCTTCAACTAGGCTTATTTTAGATCATTTCTCCCAGAGAGTTCAGCCAGATGTTCTTTCCCCTTCCCAAGTTACTGCCCAGCCACTCCCATACAGACAGCATCCCTCTTGCAAGGTAAAAGGCCAACTGAGCAGTATTTTGTCTCGGGCAGTTACACCAGTCTTGACTTTGCACCGCTCCCACAAGAAGCCCTTCCTCTCCTCAGCAGGACACATACCCCGGCCGTGCAGACTCGCTGCCCCTGCATTCCCCAGCAGGAACGAATTCCTTACCTGTAAATGATGTTTAAGGAATGCAGGTACCCAATTGCACTAGCAACTTCTGCAGCATAAAAGCGGGCCCGAGGTTCACGGAAACAGCGCTCTCTTTGCAAATGGAAGAAGAGCTACAGACAAATGAGAGGGTTGAATCATTTCTTCCCTAAAGCTGAAGGATATCTGGAACAAGCCTGAAAACCAGTTACCCAAATGAAAACTGATTTGCAGCAAGTTACACATGAACAGCACCAAATAAGCCCAAACCAGCTGGCCTTATTTAGCAATCTAAAAGATTTTCCAGAACTGCTTCATTCGTGTCTCTCTTGTATCACCATTTCACTTAAGAACACATTGACCAGAACTAGTCATCTCCTAATCTAAGTTTTTGATTATTTTCTTCTCTAGCAAGGCTGCATAATACAGCGCGTGGTTGTGTGGGCACCCAGGCTCACGAAGAAGAGATGCTGGAGAAGCGGCATATCCCTGCTAGCATGTTTCCCCCAGGAAGACCTTCTCCCCTCAAAGCTCAGACTGAGGCGAGATGCCCAGTGAGACACTGGGCCGCACAGCAAGGGCACTCCCTGCTGGATGGGTGCTCAAGGCTGTGACAGACAGCACTGCAGAGACATTTCTAAAATGCTTCATGCTGTTCCAGTCTTCACTCTACCCCAATATATTCAGCAAGAGCTCACTTGACTGACAAGCGAGATGCACACCAGCCCCTCCTAGCTGGTCTTTTTCAGAAGTTAAAGCAACATTACACTTCAGCATCATTATTGTCTGAAAGGAAATAGGTTTAGACAATTAAGCAGCAGGTCTGGGAAAGACCAAGTAGATCAGTTAAAGACAAAGGCTGTATATGCACTCACCTCACCCCCGTTTACATAGTCCAGCACAAAATAAAGCTTCTCTGAGGTCTGGAAGGAGTAATGGAGTCCCACAAGAAAGGGGTGCTTGACATTTTTCAGGAGCACATTGCGTTCTGCCATGATGTGGTTTTGCTATCAAAAAAACAAAAAACAATCAGGCAAAGCTTTAGTTTCAAGCCAGGGTCCAGCCAAAGGTGTGGTAGGGGCTCACTGCTGTTTTTGAACACAAGGGGAAGCTGGGAGTCTAAAGTAGTCGTCTCCAGCCCCAGAAAGGGAAGCATTCTGCTCACTAACCTGGATTCATCTCAGTTCTTCTCTACATTCCCATGCCACAGAGAAGTCCATACTTAACGTGAGAGGAGTGTACATGAATGCTCACTCAAACACAAGATACTTCAGTTACATTACCAGGACTGCTCATACACAAAATAGTATTTGTGGAAGTAGCCAAGGAAAACAGATAGCGGCTATGCTGCAAGGTGGAAGAGGCTTGGCCCTACGCAGGGCACAGCCAGGACAGGCTCAGTCCTCTCTCCGAGAAGCACTGGCTTCACTATCACAAGCCACGTTACTTTGTCAGAGGGCTCAAACAGGAGCACCTATTAATAGTTCCCAACAGGAGCAGCGTACCAACAAGAGAGGAACAGAGCTTGCCAATGAGAAGTAAAGGTACGAAAGCCTCCTCCCAACCCTCTCTGAAGAGTTGGGTAGGTTCTCTTGTAGACATACCTCCTTTTTCTTTAGGATGGTTTTCTTCTGCAAGACTTTCACAGCATAAAAAGTCCCATCACACTTGCGTTTGGCCAGGAGAACCTGCAACAGAAAACCACAGTCATAGGTTTGAGTCTCTTGCCCTCTGCCACTTGGCTAGCATTTCCTCACTAGCTCAGCACCCATGTGACTGATTATATACAGAATACAGCTTCAGAGGGTCAAATACAAAATTTTAAAGACCAAGCTCCAGCCTGCTGACTTCCCCTATACAGGGCTTTCCCATTGCCAGAGAAGGGCACAATACATCTCCAAATACGTTACCCGCACAATAGCAAGTGGCTTTGGAGCATGGGGGGAGGATCCCTCTTAAAGTAGATCTTTGCCACCCCCCCAGGCACAGATTTGTCTAGGGATCTTTTCCTATTTGAATGAGCCCAAGACTTATTTGGCTAAGCACTGCTCCTCACCACCTTGCACATAAAACTTCCCACTTCTTTCTGGAGAGGGGCTGCAGGACATCTCAAAGAAAGAATGGACTATGAAAAGTCTCTCTCTCATCTGTTCTCAGCCCCACTCCAAACACCGCCAAACTCCTCAGGCGACGTGCAAGTGAAGGACACAGCTAAAAAATCCTTCAGCAAGGAAGTTGCTTCCTAAATTGCCTACAAACAAGTACAGCCCACTCATATAAACCTACTTACTCTTCCAAAGCTTCCTTTGCCAATAACTTTCAGGAAATCGAAGTCTGTTGGCTTGGCACTGTTGGACAAGAATACAGCAAGTTAATGCCTCTAGGAAAGAAACATATAACAGCAACACCACCATCAAAGCAATGTTCCTTCTCGGAATTGCAAGCACTTGTGAAAGAATTAAGGGGCATCGGATGGGTGACCCTCACTCCTCGAGCTGCTGCCAGCAAGCAGACAATTCACAGTGTGCACGTCAATGCAATAAGCAAAGGATGAGGGATCTCTCAGCAGTTCACTTGCTGAGCACAACAGCAGGTGAAGCACCTGTTAGGACCAAGTGGCACCCTTAAAGGGGACAGAGTTTATCCCTATTTCTAGGGAGAAAAGTAGTTAGGGAGCCAGCACTGACAAAGAAGATCTTCTCCTGTTTTTCTTCAACAGGAAGATGGGACAAGGGGCTGCAGAGAACATGGACAGGAGAGCAGGGTTATGGTAAGAGGGACCAGCTGTAGCTGAATGTCTTGGAAGAAGGTACATTGGAGACACATATTGTGTTAAGGGCTGGATAATGTAATTTCATGGGCAGAGTCTCCAAAAGACCTAACAAGACAGAGGGGCTGACTGGTTTCCCCTCCAGATCTCTTCACCACAAGCTCCACACCCTACCTGGCTGTTGCAGGGAGCTTACTTTGGGTTAGCAGAAGGTCCAAGGTTGATATTGTCACTTGGTGCTGGAGGCTAGAAAGGATGACAACAACATTAGTTGCAAGGAGCGTGCTGCGAGTTGTGCATTCCCTCCCTCAGTACAGCACCCGTAGCGCAGGGCGGCAGCACAGAGCCTTTGAGGAACGTCCATCGGTAAGAGACACATGGGATGCTTTGGTAAACTTTAAGAGATGGGAAAAAGGAGAACAAAGCTATGTCTGAAAGCAAAACCATCCCCAAGCTGGATGCTCTAATGAGACAAATCTTTGCTGAAGTCCTCATCCCATGCTTGCAGAAGGGAACAGAAGGACCAAGTCAGAGACTGCTTAGGAGACCACTTGGCTCCTGGCTTGATGCACTCAAAAACTGCTGTTCTGGTTCAGCAAGAAAAGCACTGCATATAGCTCAGCTTGCTCATCATAGTCCCAAAACAACAGGGTGCTCCCCTCTATCTGCATTAGGCAACAGGCCCCTGCGCACAGCTCAGAGAGGAGCACCAGGGCATCAGCACCCCGCACAAACCCTGCCACCCCAGCAAGGAAAGGAGCAGCCATCTGTGCACTGCACAGTGATGACCCATTGACCCCCAAAATGGCCCTGCCTGGAGCCTTGGAAGTGATCTGCACACCCAGTGCCAGAGAGGTACAGCCTCCAGCCTCCTTGGTCCCAGGGACAAGCTAAGTGACACATGTATGTGCACAAATGGTTTTCCCTCTCCTTCACACTTCTGCTGCCCAGGAATCTTCCCCTCCCTAGACTCTGATGGTAATAATCCTTGTCTAAAAGGCTAGGCCTCTCTTTTCTCCCTCTTCTCCAGCTAGCATCACCCATAGACCACAGAGACAAGGTAGCAGTAGACCTCTTCCGGCAGTAGCCACCAAATACCCCAGGAGGGATTTGTTTCCTCTACACCATAAGCTAACGATTCCCCACCTAACGATTCCCCACCAGAAGAATGCAGCCCAATACATAGGATGGGGCACTCACCACATCCCCAGGCCTCTCAGCCAAGGAAGGCACAGAAGGAGCCAGCTTCACAGGGTCTCCTTGCCTAGCTGTGCAGGAACAGGCTGAGGAGAGCCAGTTTCAAGGGGGTACAAAATTCCTCTTCAAACTGAGGATACATGGGGCAGCGTTATGTCTCCAAAACTCAGGTGGGATCAATCAGGGCAGCAGCACATGGCCAGTGACCTCCTAGCCCTGCCAAAGCAAGTCTCAGCTCTCCACAACTCTTGTAGTCATACCCAACCACCCCAGGAGCTCCTAAGCCTGGGCTCAGGAACTAAATACAGGCTCTCCTCCAGGCACCAGCGCCTCTTGTCAACCCGATGATGGTGTTCCCAAGTCAGAGCCATGGTCTCACCTGGGGACTGATGTCTGGGCTTCTGGATCGGTCCATTAAAAAGGCAACTCGTTCAGCACTTGGGAAGAGAAGAGCAAGTGAGGATTAAAAAATAAATAAATAAAAAACCACCACCTGAACCAAACTGAAGAGAGAAACAGCTTCACACCCTAAATCTGCAAGCCTGTCAGGGACCACCAGCACAGGTCACTGGGCTGGATGGGGCTGCAGTCCTCTATGGTGTGGCCAGACCCTTCTCCAGGCAGACGAAGCCCTCCGACCTCGCAGCAGCAGCCTGGATGCCTGTCCCAACCCAGGAGCAGGGCTTAGTCCCAGCGAACACTGCATAGGGACACTGCAGCCGCCAGGCTCCACTGCGCGGTGGGTGCCTCCTCCTCCTGCCGAGGTCTCGCGCAGGAGCCAAGCGAGTCCGGCTGGGTCCAGCTGCTCCACACCACCCAGGCCAGGGCTGCCACCATTTGGGGCTGTTTCCCCAGGCCAGCGCAGACCAGGCTGCACCACACGGGACAGCTGTGGACCACTCGTGTCGGCAGAGAAGGGCCTGCAGCAGCCAGGGCAGGCTGAGGAAGCAGTTGCATTAAATAACCTCTCCTCTACCCGAGGCAGCCGTCACAGGGGTTAGACAAGTTGGACTCCTAAATCCAACAACACTTGTTGGCTCGGGCCTGTCCCACTCAAGTGACAGCACCACTGGGGAGGGATGGGTCCCGCAGCCCCAGAGATTCCCTTTTGCTTCAAGGGCTCTCACACGCCCCTTGCAAAGGCCAAGATTAAAGCCACGGCAGAAGAAAACGCCGCTCTGGTCCCTCCTCCTCTGCCCCAGAGAGGTTTCTCTGTCCTCTTGGTCCCACCGATCTCCCAGACCCCACAGGACAGCTCCAAAGACCGCGGCTCGCACCCCAGCCCTCCGCCGTGCCCCCGCTGTCACATCGGCATCC